TCATTCGTAGGACGAAAGAATAGTTCAATGCTTTTAGGTTTATAATGGCGGTCTAAAATTAGTTAGTACATAGTTTCATCCTCTTTGAAATATGTAGTAGAACCACCACAGTGTCTTGTGACCAAGAAATAGATGTTCAGGAAATATGCAATTTAAGAACTTCCACCTTTGATTCGAAAGATTTCGGACTAAGTTCACGCAAATCTAAGATACATTCTTTTTGAATTTCAGTCATTGTTAGTATTTGCTACTTGTAGTCTGAAAGAAAGCTAGGAGCATCCAAAACCAAATATGACACAAATCCATGAAGTCAGTGACAGATGGACTGAATTATGTCGGTACGTTTAGACTACCTGGTTTGGGTAGTTTGAGACGAAAGTCACCAATGGTTAGAGACCTAGAATGACACGGCTCAAGACCATTCAACCCTGTCCGGTGTTGTCAGTAACAATAGAAGATGAATGGGTGAGGCCACGCAAAATCTCTAGATTAACTGAAGTTAAACATTAACACTTTCAGATGCCGGCCTAGTGGTGGTAAGGCATTAGCACGCAAGATCGACAGTCATGAATGCACAATGCCACATGCTATGACGAAAAAACCAGCCAGGGCTTCCAAGTTTCTAGTGGCCGTCTAACATTGATTGATTTATGTTCTCAGCGTGCATAACAATCAAACCTAGATTGTTTGTCTTTTCGAAAAATGTTGTGAAGAAAAATTAGTTACTTATGAGTAATATGAGAAATCTGTTGTGACATAAGTAATGTGCAGTATAACTAAGTCAGTTTGCGTATACTTCTACTATTTATCTCATTAGTAGAATATTTTAATCAATAAAAGTTACTATCTAACATTATAAAGCAGACGATATCTGAATCTATTATCTTTCAGTTGCGATTGTTAGTTAGATAGCCTTAATCTCTTGTATACGTGTTATTACGAGCTGATAGCAGTTTACATTTTACAATCATCTCGTATTATCAGGTTTATTCATTACTTTTATCGAGAAGCTTCCTTTGAACCCTTTAAATTATTATCGCACGATTTACTGTTCGTATTTTATTGACAGTTTATTTGGCTTTCTATGTATATATCTGAAATATAGTAACGAATCTTGGATTAGTGGCCTTTAGTCTTTTGTTCTTTATCTGTGTTCGGCGCAGATTAGTAGTGGACTAACTCACCAAGTGTCTCTGTGTTATAGGTCAGCATAAGGATAGCTTAAACCACCGAACACTGAAATGGTCGAGACCAAAGCTAAGTTGTCTGTATAATCATAGCTTATATCAGTCAGTCAGTTGATCATGTGTGTCACACTGTGTTAGGATATTCATTGAATATCGTAAGAGAATTACTGGCCAGTTCCTATTGATTAATTCCTACTGGTCAATTTTATGGTCGTCCTAGATATCAATGTCACGTGCTCCAATGTTGCTGCCTATTGGTCGTCTCAACCATCAGTGTCACAGACTCCGATGCTGTTTCCTATTCGAGCTAAATACATAAATACGCATTATCTGTAACGCTGTATGACCAGGACCCGGATCCGTAGTCCGGGATCCTGATTCTCTTCTGGATTCGGACCTCGTACTTCTCTATGCTTGTAGAATACAGGTTCTACTTCATATCAAGCCTTCTTATTTTTACTCAATATGGGGGTTGGGATAATCGGATTTGAGTCGCATGTCGTGTCACCGGATCCTCGCTCTCGTTTTTCGAATAAGGTAAACTCGTAATAATTCATGCATATCAAGTTGACGTGTTTGCGTGCAGGCGTAACACATTGGTGTAGTATACTGATGTCATGTATTTATTCTGCCTACCTTCACTTCCTTCTACAATATTCCTAGTCAATCCAATATTACACATCAAAGTTACTGATCGTGGATCATGTCCCAAAAGCCGTAATAAATGAAGATTCTCAGTTGTACGCATTTTATATTTAATCAATAACCACACTGATGTATGAAATAAAATTCGTAGATGCATTCGCCTATCTAAATATCTGATTTCGGCCATTTCATTCAATTTCTCCCATTCAGCAATTACCATCATAGGATATGACATAAGATTGAATCGATCCAATTCGTTGGAGCTATAGTAGATACAGTTATGAATGATTGTCATGATGATGTGTTAAACAGGAAATGCTTGATTCAAAAGCAAACATAAAATATGAGGCGATATTCTAAGGAAGGAAATTAACCTGCTATAACACTGATTATTGGTCGAGCATAATTACTGAATCTCGACACCGACTTTTTATATATAATGTACCAAGCTACTAAAATGATATTTAAGTAGATAGTCAAATCTACTGAAAATTTTGTAACTTGCAAAAAGAATCAGACAGATGACATTGGCCCTATAAATTTATAGACTTACTAAGAAGCATGAGAGTTCAATGAAAATAACTCAGATTTTAAGCCAGTGGTGATACTTACTTATAAGGCATTCCTTACCAATAAAAATTTTTAACTGAAAGAAATTCATCCATGTTGCGGCTTCTAAATTAAATATCTTTTATGAAATACTTTCCTTGTTCATTCATTTCTTGATTATACGACCATCCCATGTACTGTTTTTCTTTACAGCGGTACCATATAGAATGGCAGGTCAATTGAAGAAGTAGTGAGTTTTTATCAGTTGAGGTGGTTGAGACATGTGTTACATATAACCGACCATCGACTGCCTCGACGGGCTATGATACCTGGTGTAGGGGATAGGCCGGAAGAAAGCTAGCGGCGGCCAGACTAAAACGTGTCACAAATCCATGAAGTCACTGACAAGTGGACTGAGTCATGTTAGTAGATGTAGGCTATCTGGTTGGGGTCCGCAAGACGTAGATCACCAATGGTTACATCCCTCGAAGTACATGGCATCCATTCTTTGAGTTCTCTCAAATCCACTACGTTTGTCTCTCTACACTTATCTCACTGAATTATACTTCTTCAGTATTATCTTCAAATCCTAATCTTCTCCATTAACAGTAATTCTTCTACTATACCTACAACTATGGGATTTGAATTGACAATTGCTTCTCTGAGCTAATGTGGTATGTCAGCATGAACTGATGTACTTAAGTACGAAGTTGCGCAACTCCTTGAATTGATCGAAGTCAGACATTAACACCGTTAGATACCGTCTCAATGTTCCAGAGTTTAGGAGTTCGTGCGCGAGACCGAACGTCCTGGGTTTGAATCATGCAAGGTGCAGGAGTTGTGGATGTGCACTGTCACCGATGAGTCCCATACCAGGATGAAATGGCCGCCCACTATTTACAGGTTTCTAATTGTGTGGTCTAACATTGATCGGTTCATGGGTTCAAAATGTGTAACTTAACAATCTTCACAACCCCATAATATAATGATATACATTAATTTCTTATATGTAACAGCTAATTCCTAACTTTCTATTGTGTTCTGCGTGACTGTTATCGTAAGTCTAAAACTTTTTGGCTTAGTTCATTGAAGTAGATGATATTTCAGAGTAAAGACTTAGGTGACTTACAGGTCGACTAACTTCATCGAATTAGGTGTAGCGGAGTTCACACCTATAACGTTGATGTAACCCATGTGATTTAATCACAAAAGTCTATAGAATTTCACTCAGACTACAGTTTGCTTACGTTGCATTTGATTGAACACTTTCATCAACTTGACTGTATCGTTATAATTTTATTGTTACGTTTGTATGAACAGGTATGCTTGAGCGATGCTTACCGTCAATGCACATATTCATTCTACTAACTGAAATAATTCAATGACGCAGTCATTTCCTTATATAGATGTACACTTTAATCCTATTCATTCGCTACTTAGCACTCGCATATCTTATTCTGCCTGCGATTTATCGATCAGCTTTTTGCAGTAATACACATCATCAACACTTCGCGTTCTTCTTCTGAATCGTATACACTGTTCGGGGTGATATCCAGTAAAACGGTTATCAAGACGAGCAGTATCGAATATCCACCGTCACAAGTCATCGGTTCCCAGATAATCCTACAAACCGAAACTGTAGACAGTCAATCAGTTACAACGTAAAACTTCATACGTACGTACATCAATTGATGTTGTCATACCGCATTAGCACAGATAAGCAACTGTCAATTTAAATCCCATAGTGGTAGCGATAGCAGAAGTATTAGCGGTAATGGAGACGATCAGGGTTCGAAGATATTATTCAAGAAGTATAATTCAGTGAGATAACTTTAGAACGAGGAAGATAGATACGATGAAGAATTCACAAGGTCAGAATTTGAGAGAACACAAAGAGTAGATGCACATGCGCTATGGAAAACACTTTTGAGTCATGTCATTCAAGTGGTCTCTAAGCACTGGTAATTTTCGTCTAGCGGACCTCAACCATGTAATGTTGGGGATGTTACATCCCCAGAACTCGCTTGATAAATATCTTTCTCTTGGATTTATCTCATGCACCGAACGGTTGACCTTGAGATCACGTTTCCCACCAGTGAAATCCTTGGCTGTGATTGGTTACTGTGTCGTTTAAGTGTTCTATTTTTGTGACTGTCCCAATAACGTCTCTATAGAGTATAAATAATCGCAATTTGAGTGCTTGGATTTATTGTATGATGGCTTGGCGTTTGTAGAATACAATTTCTACGCTATATCAAGACTTCTTAACTGATTTAATGTGGTCAATGGATCACATTAGCCTACCGGGACGCTGGTTCATTGTTTTGTTCTCGTTATTCGACTAAGGTGAACTCGTAATAGTTTAAGTATACCTAGAGACGAGCGCGACAATTATGACAAGAACATTCTGATTTCTCTTTTTTTCTCTCTAAACAACATTAAAAATCACTTTCTCTTTCTTTCTATTATGCCTGCACGCAAACACGTCAACTTGATATGCTTGAACTATGACGAGTTTACCTTAGTCGTAAAACGAGAGCGAGGATCCGGTGACACGACATGCTAATCAAATCCGATTATCTCAACCCCCATATTGAGTACAAATAAGAAGACTTGAAATTGAAGTAGAACCTGTATTCACCAAACATCCAGAAAGTACAAGGTCCGAGTCTAGAAGAGAATCAGGATCCCAGACTAGGGATCTGAGACCGGATCCTGGTCATAAAACGTTACACACAATGCGTATTTATACATTTTAGTCGAATGAGAAACAGCATCGAAGTCTGTGACATTGACAGTGATGACAACCAATAAGAAACAACATTAGAGCACGTGACATTGATATCTAGGACGACTATAAAATTGACCAGTAGGAATGAACCGATAGGAATTGACCAATAATAATTCTCTTACGATATTGAATGAATATCCTAACACTTTCTTCATATCAATTCATTATTTTTTTTAAAAAAAACACATGAACAGAAGTAACACCACTTTAGAGTCATGTACAAAGAGACAAAATAAAAAATATCATAAAATAACAGCTACTTAGTTACTTTCTTTTTACATTTACAAAAACAAACAAATCACAAGGACAAGAGTAAAAACAATCACGACAACGATAACATCAGTAATGTAGAGTAGTGAAAATCGCTTTCCGATATGAATAAGAAAACACAAAGTATACATACTTATGTACATAATATCCTCCTATTAGACACTGTGTTTTGTACAAATCAAAGCATTGATCTGAAAATATTGACAATCATTTTGTGGATGAAAAAAAAACAATGTGTGTGTGTGTTTTAATCGTTTATAAGCGGTTCTCATCCTTTCTTTTAAAAATGATTCATTATTCTACCACGTGAACGTCTACCGCCAGCACCGCCAGCCCCTCTTCCAGCACTGAACGTTCTGTGAGGACGACCACCGCCGCCTCCTCTACGTCCTCCGCCACCTCTACTCGATTGATATGGTCGATTTGGCAATAATCCATAACCAGGGGAATAATCCATTTCATCTGATTGGTTGACATTGGTAGTATAATCATCAATTTGTGAGTTTGGTAAACAATAAGGTTTTATTCGGTCTAATGGCGCAGGTGGTACCATATCTATTGTTATCTGAATGAATATACAAAAAACACAAACAATATTGATTATTTTTCAACTTGTGAAAACATGATAATAGTAATAATAATGATCAATGATTAATGCCTGGACAAAATGGAACTGAGTTAATTAGTTATGATTTGTGATGTAGGAATAGGTTGGAACAAAGCTAGGAGCGGCCGAACCAAAAAAATGGCACAAATCCATGAAGTCAGTGACAGGTGGACTGAGTCATGTCGGTAGGTGTAGACTACCTGGTTGGGGTCAGTGAGACTAAAGTAACCTATGGTTAGAGACCTTGAAAGACAGGGCTCGAAATCGTTTGTAATGGCTCAGGTGCATCCATTCTTCGTCTTCTCTGAAATTGTAAGCTTCGGAGTTCTACATCACCTTAATCTTTTTTCTTTTAACTTTATTTCACTACATTCTACTTCTTGGATAATATCATTGAACCCTAAAATTTCCGTTTGCTACTAATGCTTCTACTACCTCAACTGCCATGGGATTTGAATCAACAACTTCGTCTCTCTTTGCTACGGTGGTATGGCAACCTGAATTGATGTACTTACGTACCCTGTTCTACATTGTAGCTGACTGATTGAAATAAGTATTCTCTTCAGTTTCTGCAATATTATACTTACAAGAACCCCAATTTGTGCAATGACGGCAACAAGAAGCCGTATACGGTTTAATAGATCAATTCATTTCATGCACTGATTTAAACAGATAGAAGACGCGAGGACGAAAAGCTTATAAGCAAAGTGGAGAAGGCCAGCGAGCCAACTCAACACTCGTAATATGATTACTCTTTCACTTCATGTTATAATTAATTCTCTCTTATTACAACCCAGCTATTTTCCTAATGCTTAGTATTCTGGGACACCAATCCACACGACGAGTCCCCAAATCAGAGCACGGTTGAACAGGGTAGAGATTATATCCTAAATAACAAGGTTAAATGGAAGTAAGAAGCGAAGGTGAAGTAGGACCAACGTTAGTATCTTTATAGTTTTTACGCCAGAAGCTTCTAGAATATTTTACAAGTATCGATTAACGTTTATTGGACAGACGTTTCGCGAACTCGCGTTGTTTGCATTGGCGGTGCAATGAGCTGAAGGAATATGACTAGAGTTAGTCGTAGAGATAAGAGAGATATTAGGGGGTGTAAGAAGGATTCGATTTCGACCAATTTGCTCTCGTGTGCTGTTACAGGTATGAGGGCGATTGTCACTCGCCAGCAACCCACACCGTGGAAGCTTGTTTCTTGAAGAACCTGAAAAGGAAGATAGATTAGTGTTGGTCTTAGAGACCTGGGCGCGTGACCGCAGAGTCCAAGGGACAACTGCTTAAGGCCGATCAAACACGGCCTTTTGATGAAAGGTTTTTTGAGTATTGGCTCCGCTCTTGAAAACCCTTAGTGGGCAGTCCTTACCGCCGGAGACGGAAATCCGTGAGGTAGGCTGAGGTGTGACATTTTTAGGGTCGACCTTTTCTAACCCTTCCTTCCTTGTGATGAGAAGGTAGCATCGCTGCAGATGCTGGTTGTCCGAGGGAAACACCTAACTGCTGTCACACCCCTCTGCAGTAGTCAGCAGTACGACTTCGCCCTCAGACCTTGATTGGACACGAAGAGTCAATCAATGTGCAGCAACGCTATCATGCTTTAATCCAATCTCTGTTCTGCTAACACGTCCAATAAAAACAACCAAGTTTATGAACAAATGTTTGATAAAAAATCAAAAACTAACAACTGAATAATAAAACAACACTCGGTTAATTGAGACGAACCAGCGCTTACTTTTTCTTTATTCAATGTTCTAATCAAATTAATGGGTACAATCTCTTCTTCATCAATCGTTAATTGAGGATTACTCTTTTGCTGACGATGATATACAACCAATACAACTTTCTCTTTACAATTACCAACATCATCATTAACATGCACACCGTTATGAAGATTGCGCTGTCTAGGAAAATGACCAATCAATTGTGCTTCAACATAATCACCTGATATATTTTGTGCTAGAATAGGACAACCAATTGGTAGAATACATGTTTTCGATATAATATTCGATGTAGACGATGTTAATGTTGGTGGTGGTGTCATGGATTTGGTTGAGTCTGCAACAACAATTAAATCATCTAAACGAGTTAATCCCATTGATGGACGTACTACTAGTGAAGCATTATTATTAGTAGTAGTAGTATTATGCATAGGTTCAATGGATGAATGAAACTTGAAGTGTAGAGAAAAAAAGAAATCGAAACAAAACAGAGACATTATTAGTATACAATAAACGGAATAAATTGATCAGAAAGGAAAACGAGTTAGCAGACAGATACAACACAGAACTTCGTACGTATGCACATTAGTTCCGGTTGTCATACTGTGGTGCGAGCTACTTATAAGTAGTATATGACGTGAGTGTCAACGTAATGTCTGGCAGCAGAAGATAGGGGAAGATCAAGAAAGGAAGAGTTAGAACATAATGGAATTTGTGTGAAACGCATGAATAGTGACAATCGATTGATGTTTTGCAACAGGAACAGTCCAGTTCCATAGGATGAACTGATCTTTTGCAAATGAACAATTTACGATATGGTTTTCCGATTTTACTGAGTAACTCTGTAATTTTCGTTAAATACAATCCGGGTGCTCCAGGTGTGTTCTCGTTCACTACAATACCATATCAGCAGAGAGACGTGACTGTCAGTTCAAATCTAATAGTGGTAGAGATAGTAGAAGTATTAACAAGCAGTAATTGAGAAGATTAGGGCATAATTCAGTGAGATGAAGTTAGAAAGAGAAGGATAGAGATGATGAGAAATTCAGAAGGTTAGAATTTGGGAGAACACAAAAAAAGACGAGTTAGCATACCGACATTGGTGGATTTGAATTGACAATTGCATTTTAGTGCTATTGTGCTATAGTTACTTCAACTGGTTTACGTACAAACGAAGTTCTACGTTGCAGCTAACTGACTGACTAGGTATTCATGCGTAAAACCTAGGGTCTTGTGTTCGATTCCTGCGAGTAACAGGAGTTGTGCCAAGACGAAATGACAGTCATTCAGTGCTTCCATGTTTCTAATAATAATGGATTTATGGTTTCAATCAAAAACAAAGTCAAATTTAGAAGTGATCACGTTACAAGGATAATTTTCAGGCAGAGCTTTAGAGGTTTGTGTGTTTACACATTTGAAATTATCAATCAATCATTGTTAGTCAGTCAGATGCAACGTAGAACTTCGTACGTAAGTACATCAGTTCATGTTGCCATACCACATCAGCACAGAGATGTAATTGTCAATTCAAATTCAATAGTAGAGGTAGTAAAGATATTAGAAGTAATCGGAGAGGTTAGGATTAGAAGATATTATTCAAGAAGTATGATTCAATGAGAAACGTTTACAAAGTCAAAACGAGAGGAGTTGAATAATCCAGAAGATTAGAATTTGAGAGAACACACAGAATAAATGCACCTGAGCCATTGCGAACGATTTTGAGCCATGTCATTCAAGGTCTCTAACCATCGATTATTATCATCTCGCGGACCCCAACCAGGTAGTCGACAATTACCGACATGGCTAAGTCCACTCGTCAATGACTTCATGGATTTCTGCCATGTTTTGGTTTGGCCGCCTCTAGCTTTCTTCCAACCTATTCCTACAGTACAAAACAAAGCTCGTCGAGGCAGTCGGTGGTTAGCCATACGCAACACATGTCCCAAAAATCTCAACTGATGAAGTTTCACCACTTCATCTATTGATTTGCCATCCCTACCTAGAACTCGTTTCCTAACGACAGCATTGCTTATACGGTTGTCCCAATGATACACGAGCAATGCTTCGGAGACATCGATGATCGAAGACTAGTAACCTACGGAAGTCCTCTACTCTTAACGGCCAAGTCTCGCATCCGTACAGTAGGACGGAGCGTACTATGCTGCACAGTACACTCGTCCTTTAGTCGTTATATATATATATATATATATATATATATATATATATATACATAGTGAAGGTCACTCCTTACAAATATCTATTATTTAGACGAACTTAATTCTCACTTTCGCTGTTTATAAAACAATCTCTATTAACTGGGTGTGAATTTACTCTATTTCATTGATAATAATCAGTACAATTACATATTTGACAGAAATATGCGTGGAAATATTTGAAGACACAGTGTATACACAAAATATTGGACATGGACAGTGCATAAAACTACGCCCTTTTTATTTAAATGTTAAGTAAAAATTGTGTTGAGATGGAAGAAGATTAGAACATGATATGGTTGACATTTTAGTGATTAAATTAAGGAACTTGGAATACATTTGTATAATATAAATTCAGATCAATATCCTTAACTAACCAATAGTGTTTTAATAGAACAGTGAGAAGGGACTAATTGTTTTAAATAACCAATAGTGGCCTAATGGGCGAGACTATGAAGAGAAGACCCCTAATAAACTTGAGAGGTTTCAGATAGTCAAAAAAATACTTTAACATAGTTAAGAAACTTGTGCACGTTAGACAAAGGCCTTGTGATTCAGAAATTGCAATGAGTACGGTACAGAAATTCATCCATATAACTCCAAAACAGTCGACCTCTGAAGCTCTTTGAGCTAAGACTGTATGGCTTCTATGTTGTTTGTGTACACTCCCGTGATGACATTTACGAAATATCTCTTGTGAGCAATGACACGATGAACGTATACAAGCTTAGATTACCATCTATACACCTTCCAGTTGTCCATGTATATTACGGTACCTGGATACACATACTACTATAGGGTTAATATCACTGTTGAAGCCGGTCAGTTTCGTACTTCCTGAAAATGTCATTTTTGCATCAAACTATCATCAATATCGAAGACATGCTACCTTTGCTCTATCAGCTGCTACTTACCCAATATTCTCTTACGCATCTTCCTCTATTCAATTTTGCTTTCCAAACAACCGTCTCATCGACTGCTACAATACTTAAATTCATTCAAACGACTGCTTCAACCCCCCTTATCTTTAATGCACCTTACAGTACTCATATGCCAGTGAATTGCAGAAGCTTCAGTAACATTTCCAAATGCAGCAGAAAATTTAACTAGTGCCCTCCATTAACCATGTTTGTAACAAAAAGCATCATCTGTCTTAATGCTGATAATCAACATTGGACAAACATAGTCCTCATTCTTGCAGAGTTCTTTCACCATCTCATATTTTACATAGAAATACACTGTCCATGGTGATTCGTGATTGTATAACTTCAAGTATTAAAATACGCGTTTAAGCCCAGTTAGCCAGTTTTAAAAACATAAAAGGAATTCAGGTGTATTGAATGAAAGTGGTTCAACCCCAATGGAATAATTGATTTATTTACGAAAGATAGTTTACTAGCAAAATGTGTACCTTTTATCTTCATAAGTGCATTTACAAACTAAGCAGATTATTGGCTGTCTTTTTTTCACATCTGTTTCTAGTCTTGAATCTATTTTGTTCGCAATATGCATACGCATCCGACACTAATCTGTTCAGCAGTAAATTCTGGGCTACACTTCATTTCATACTACTTACAAGCTAGCTTGCAAGTAGTATTGTGTACCACTCGCACATAGATCTAAACAAAGTGTAGATAATACACAGACCCTTATAAACACTTGAGTTTATGAACAATTGATTTGGAAGGACGTTTCGATTAACTTGTTTAACAAACAGAGTCATTTCATTTGGCAAAAACTTGTCTATACCTTTGTACATTGAAATCATGAATAAATCGTTGTTAGACCAACAGTAGAAACCTCGAGGTACTGGACGGCCGTTTCGTCCTCGTATGGCATTCATCGACAGTGCTCAACCACGACTCCTGATATGTGCATGATTCGAATCAAGGACTTTCGGTCTAGCTTGCGAACGTCTTACCTTTGAACCGCTCAGCCAGCATCCAACGGTGTAAATGTCCAACTCTAATCAATCTAACGATTTTGCTCAGCCGCATCCAACTGTCTTCAGCGAACTGAGTTGAACGCCACTTGTCACATCTTCTAACTAGACCTCCGAGAATTACCTCATGAAGCTAGTAACTAGTGAGAAAATTTCTTGATTTCGCTCTTCGGCACTCGCATATCATTTCACTTTTACTTCGTATGCCTGTAATTTTGTAATCTGTTTGTTGCAGTAACAAACATCATCAACGAATTGTATAAACCGTTTGGCGTTGATCTAGTAAAACAGTTATATCATGACGAGCATTAAATTTTAAAAGGAGTTTAGATATTCGATCGAATATATTTATATATTCACACACCGATCGTCATCACAGATACATTTTGATGCAACAAACTTACTTGATCATATCGTTGATGACCGCGATGACCACGATCATGATAGCCTCGATTAGTGGTAGTAATACGACGACTTGGATTACTATCATGTGAACGAATGCCACGTGATGAATTATTTGGATAATACGTTTTACTACTATTAATATTGTTAGTAGTATGATCACCATCTGCTTCAATATGTAAGATGGATGTAGACGCTTTGCTCAGTAAATAATCAATAGTTGCTTGATAATTATAACGATGCATTTTTAATGCGCTATTCGCTAGCTGAAATGGATAACCTAATGATAATAATTTTGATAAAGATTCATCATATTCCAATGATTTTTTTGATTGAATTTCATAAAATCTAAAAGAAATTATGTAAAAATTAATAGTCATAGTAACTCAACAATCCAAAACAAACTTAAAATGCAAACAAAATCTGCATTACAGGGTTGTGAAGATTGTTAAGTTACACATTTTACGAAACCATGAATCGATCAATGGTAGAAGAACACCATTAGAAACCTGGAAGCACTGGACAATGGCCGTTTCGTCCTGGTATGGGACTCATCAGTGGCAGTGAGCATCCACGACTCCTGCACTTTGCAGGATTTGAACCCAGGACCTTCGGTATTGTGCGCGAACGCCTAACCCTCGGACCACTGAGCCGATATCTAACGGTGTTAATGTCTAACTTGATCAATTCACGGAGTTGCGCAACCTCATACTTAGTCTTCGGTAGTTACTGTCTACACCCGAACAGGTTGAACAAAATCTGTTCTAGTGAGAGGTTGTGACCAGGAGCGTTTAACTCAGTTTGAATGTGAAGCGATGCTCACGATGAGTGAGATTGAGGAAGACTATTAGTTGATCGAAGATAGACATTAACATTGTCGCTGAATGCCGACCGAGTGGTCTGAAGGTGAGTTGCAGGAATCGTGGACGTGCACTGCTGATGAGTCCCACAGGACGAGACTGCCATCTTTCAGTACTTCCAGGTTTCTAATGGTGATCTAATACTGATCGATACATCATTTCAAAAAGTAACTCAACAATCTCCAGAACCCCATAATGCAGATTGATAAACAAACACGCTTCAGCCTTCTGAATTTCGCGGAAGTCGTTGACATCAGTCGCCTGAAACACCAGAATAAGACCTCGTTCAATGAAATTATAGATTTATCTAACCGTAACATTGATTAGTAAAGAACTGTTGAGGTTCAATAAAAACTTCCAATCTAGGTAAGTTCACTGGATCATTATTGTAAACAGTAACAACGTGTCCAATCAATTCAGACTTTCTGTCAACATGTTCTACATTTGTTGTACTCATGAGTCGACTATTGGTGCGTTTGGTAAAGAATATTTAAAGCATCGCTTGGATGAGGCGCATCAACTCAGTGGTACGTTACAATTTTTTTCCAGTCATCAATAAACAGCCAAGCTCTAGTATTCTGTAGGATGTTGGAGCTGTTGTTTTGCGTTTGAAATACAGATGAGTGCTTACCATCATAAAACACCATTCTTCCGTTCAAATAATTACATAATCAGGTATTTTGATTTCAACTGTCCCCATATTAGTAGTCTTATTTTAGCTCTTTTCCGTTTTATACTGATTTTGAGCCATTTTGTTCAAGGTCTCTAACCATTGGTGACTTTCGTCTCGCGGACTCCAACCAGGTAGCCTACATCTACCAACATGACTCAGTCCACTTGTCAGTGACTATATGGATTTCTGCCATGTTTTGGTTTGGCCGCACCTAGCTTTCTTCCAACCTACTCCTACACCACAAAACATAGCTCGTCGAGGCAGTCGGTGGTTAGCCATACGTAACACATGTCGCAACCATCTCAACTGATGAAGTTTCACTAATTCATCTATTGATCTGCCATCCTTACCTAGTACTCGTTTCCTAACGACAGGATTGCTCACTCGGTTGTCCCATGATACACGAGCAATGTTTCGAATACATCTATAATCAAATACTAATAACCTACAGATGTCCTCTACTCTTAACGGCCATGTTTCGCATCCATATAATAAGACAGAGCAAACAGCTGTGCAGTACACAAACGGGTAATCTCGTCTACGCCATAAGTGACAAAGGTTTGCAAAAGCCAATCAAGCCTTCTTTATCCGTACTGAGATTAACAGTAATACTTATAATCACGTATTATCTATCAAAAAATTAATTCATTGACTTACTTAGATAAACCAGGTTGAAAACGACGTGATTTTTGATGTGTGAAAATTCTTTGTTGATCATTTGTAGTATGATTAACAGAGTTGTTAATCGATTCCTGATGATGATTATTATTATTATGATTCGTGGATAGCTTCAATTCAGCTAAAACTTCTTTACGATGTTCATTGAATTGTGTTTGCAGTTCACTTTCTTCTTGATCATCACTACGATTATTTGTCATCATTTGAAATGAATCAAATTTCACTAAAAAAAGGTAGAAACGTACATATATACAAACAGAAGAATATATTTTTAAATCATACGAATGAGAATGTAGAGAATTGTATTCTCTTTTGCCCCCCCCCCCCACACTCGAAATACTCTCATACGGAGGCACAAATCCGTGGACTGAGTCACGTTGGTAGATGTAGGCTACCTGGTTAGGGTCCGCGAGACGTAAATCACCAATGGTTAGAGACGTTGAATAACATGGCACAGGTGCATCCACTCTCTGTTTTCTCAAATCCTATACGTTTGTCTTTCTAAACTTATCTCACTGAATTATACTTCTTGAATATTATCTTCAAATCCGAATCTTCTCCATTACTGCTAATTCTTCTACTATCTCTACCATTAATGGGATTTGAATTGACAATTGAGTCTCTGTGCTAATGCGGTATGGCAACATGAACTGATGTAATTACGTACGAAGTTCTATGTTGCAACTGATTAACTAACTGACTTATACGGAGGCGCGTATATAGCTTCCTAACACGAAAGTTGTATACGTATCGCTTTTTCACGTGACAGAGATATTGTTTGCAAAATCGGGAAGACAAAAGCGAATGCCCGACATGGGCTTAAACCAAATTAGTGAGTATGGAAGATTTGCAATCTTGGAATACTCTAATTACAAACCAGTTGTCTACTTTGACTTCAGAATCCTGATAGTCATCGACGAACATAGAACAGCAACTCCTGACATTGTTCCATTGTTTTGTGAACTAAGCAACTGAATTAAAGGCTCGATAAGTGACACAGCAGAAGAAAATCATCTGGTTCGACTAGGGTACGCGGACAGTAGTATCGTAGCCTTTACACACACACATATTCAGTGATTTGTATGGGACACGAATATTTAGGTGCTCTAATGTATCAATTTTATAGTAAATTTTAAGTAATTCCATGAGTACCGATAAAAGTAAATTATGAAAATAATTAATGTGTACATTTGGATTATGACTATGATCAGTAAAATAATTATTATGCAGTTAATCCTAGAATTTATCGATTAAAAATACCAAGTGATATTTATTAAAAAAGTTTCTGAATGACGTGTTCAATGATTACCTGAATTGAACTATTATAACTATTAGGAGACTCCTAACGACTACACAGACAGGGGTCACACGCAGGATCTTTAACCTTGCATGAAACCACACAACTTACAAACTACAGAGTAGGTATCACACAGTATACATGTCTAGAGCTTCGATTCATTCACGATACTGCATGAACATCAATTGTCTATGGTGGGTAACTTTGTCACACAAGTGAAATGACTGAACTACAACGATCGACTGGTTCTTATTATTAGGATTCTAAGAATTTCGTTTCGATTTGGTCGACACTTCAGCCTGTATACAGAGCTAACATATTGACGGAAAAAAAATTAATTATCTTTTATTAGTGAATCATGAACTGTGTAGATTAATTAATCTTCATCTACGAACCCTAGAGACATACATGTATGTTTACAAATATATGAATAAGTGAACTGACAAATGCAACGGGATGTTATGTAATTAATGACAATTGAATGTTAAACTATAATAATTGTACAGTGAATAGAAAACACTATTTGAACTCGGTCTACTCACAAACACAATGAAGTATTGAAATGTCATCAGTCGAGGTTGCTGGGATATGTGTTACGTACGCCCCACCAACGAATGCCTCGTCGAACTATGTGTTGTGATGTAGGGCTGGGTTGGAAGAAAGTTAGGGGCCGCCAGACCAAAACATGACAGAAATCCTTGAAATCACTGACAAGTGGACTGAAACATGTAGTCAAGTCAAGTATAGACTACCTGGTTGGGGTCTGCGAGATGATAGTAATCGATAGTCAAAGACATAGAATGATATGCCTTAGAATCCTTAACTCTGGCGCAGGTACATCCATTCATCTTTCGCTTTTTTTAACTGAGTTATACTTCTTGAATAATAATGTTTTAGGATGTACATACGTACAAAGTTCTACGCTGTAACTGAGTGACTCAAACACACAAACAATCATGCTTATATTCAATGTATGACACACGCACACACACACCTACTTTGATTACGCTCTCGATCGGATCGTAATTGATTTAAAAATTCTCCTTCAGTTTGTATAAGACAAGAAGCTTCACGACTACCAAACGGTACAAACATTGGAGCTCCTTGACCGATGACACGATTTTCTGTTCCTTTAAGAAACTGACAATGGATAAACAAAACAGATAAAAAATAAAGGAAAATATGACGAAGTCATTATTATTTCGTAATGATTACGATGGTCTATCTGAAAACAATAGTGTTGTAGCCCGTTTGCATCAAGCTGTGCTGCATCTCTTGCTATCCTATGGCATATGTGTATATCGTATGCTATAATGCTGAACTGAGCTGAAGGTTTCCTATAAGACCAGAGGTTTGCTGTGAACATTGTAGATGGCTTAGCATTGCTTTAGCAAGTATTACTAACAGTTCATGAACAAAATTGTTTAGCAGAGTGACTGATTTAATCGATAATGGTGGTTGTTTTGCAACATTTCTGAGGGCCATTTTCACTGAGGTGCACATTGATTGACGCGATCATGGATCGGAAATAATCACTATATATGTGTACTCGTGTATCTAAGTGGTGTGAATGGTTCACATCTATGTGTCAGGGACCTGTTTGGTGGTTGTGACACGGAAGTGAGCCGAACTGTTTCGACTTCAAATGTTAACACGTGGGCAGCATCCTTGGTTCTCCCAAAAACCAATGTAAAATTGCTCATGAAAAATTATGGTTACATATTTTTGCAATTTCCAAGAGTAACCACCTCACAGAGTATCACTCGATAGTCGCCAATAGACTGTACAACACGTGAAGGCAGCACACATCATCGCCCTTAGTGGGCACCCTTACCCAAGGAGACGGAAATCCGTGAGGTAAAGTGAGGTGTGACATTTTTAGGGTCGACCTTTTCTAACCTTTCCTTCCTTGTGACAAGGCAGCATCGCTGCAGATGCTGGTTGTCCGAGGGAAACACCTTACTGCTGTCACAACCCCTCTGCAGTAGTCAGCAGTACGACTACGCCCTCAGACCTTGAGTAGCTGCTTTTAGTCTCATCGTTCTCCAACCGACCAGCCTGGCATGGTAGAACCTTCAGGGACATATGTTCCAGCCAGTATAGCTCGGCTGGGTCACCGATGGTGAGAGACCTTGAATGTCATGGCTCAGAATCGTTTGCAATGGTGCAGGTGCACCCACTCTTTGTGTTCTATGAAATTCTAAGCTTCTGCATTCCTCATAATCTCTATCTTTCTCCTTCTAAATTTATCTTACTGAATTATTCTTTTCGAATCAAATCTTAGTTCCCTGATCTTCTCCATTGCTGCTAATACTTCTATTATTGCTATCACTATTGGATTTGAACTGACAGTCACGTCTCTGTGCTGATGGGGCATGGCAACCTCAAATGATGTACTTACGTACGATGTTCTGCGTTGTATCTGTCTGTCTGTCTACCAAATCAATAAACAAACCAGCGAACACAGAGAACACAATATCCAAAATAATAATATTAATCATAACAGTTATAATAATATCAATTACCTTAGTCATATTCCAATCACGTATTAAATTGTTGACAGTACCACCGAGTACTTCAATATGCTTTTTTGATAATAATAAAAATCCCATCAATAATGGAATTGATCCGATTAAACGAAATTTTGTTCCAGGTGGAATATCAATACTGAAATATTTTTTTAGAAAAGAAATTACAAATACATTAACTTTAATCAGAAAAATAGGGTGTTATCAAAAGCCAGCGTGGAAAATACTACTCATAAGTGTTTAAAGTAGTATTAACAGTAGAAATTAAATTTTGATTTTTTCAAAAAGTGTATTTAGGATTAAATAGCTTGATAACGAAGAATTTTCTGCTGTATAATGTTTCTTACAGTTTTAAAAAAGTTTGCTTGTGTGTTTGTGATACATGAAAGAAATTCAGCTGAACAGAAAAATACATTATTTATGAGGCATGTGTCTAGAAGATCAATATATCAAGGATATTTATTGTGAGGCGTACAACTACTAGCTGTAAAGCTACGATTTTTGTCCATAAGGAGGAATGCTAATAATAGAGAGTAGCATTGTAACAGTGAGATAAGATTTCGACCTGATGAGACCGCATGCTCAACCACTGACTGCCTCGACGAGCTATGTTTTGTGGTGTAGGAGTAGGTTGAAAGAAAGCTAAGGGGGGGGGGGTAAACCTAAACATGGCACAAACCCACGAAGCCACTGACAACTGGACTAAGTCATGCTGGTAGATGTAGACTATCTGGTTGGAGTCTGTAAGACGAAAGTAAAGGCCTTGGACAACATGGCTCAAAATCGTTTGCAATGGTGCAGGCGCATCCACTCGTACGAAGTTCCGCCTTGTAACTGACTGACTGACAATTCTCTGTACACTGCTAACAGCCCGAGAATAAATCTGCACGACAACTTGAACACAAAATAAAATACGAGCAGAACCTTTTACTCAAGTCTGAGATCTGTACTGCGAGCCCATATGGCTTATCCCTAGCCTTCTGTTAAATTAACTAATCCATTCTCAATTAGTTATGGAGATGAATGTTTGTTGCACGTTGTAATCATCAATCAATCATTGTCAGACCACCGCTAACGCAAACAATTTTCAGCCATGTCATTATTCAAAGTCTCGAACCATCGATTATTATCAACTCACAGACCCCAACTAAGTAGTCTACACCTACCAGCATGGTTTAGTCTACTTGTCAGTGACTGATTGAATTTGTTCCATGTTTTGGTTTGGCCACTCCTGCACCCGACATAATCGCTTGCTGATGCAGTTGGAGGTTGGGCATACGTAACACATGTCCCACCAACCTCAACTGATGAAGTTTCAATACGTAATCTATTGATCTGCCATCCTTACCTTGTACCCGCATCCTAACAACAGCATCGCCTACTCGGTGGTCCCAGGATATACGAGCAAGTCCAGCGGGCTCAACATATTCGTACCCACACTATATATTAGTTCAAACCTCACAGACGATATCAATCCCTATAAGCATACCTTGATGGTGTAAACATAGAATTGAATCAAAATGTGAAAATATACATATATATAACCACCCTCAATTGAAAGTTTACTTTAAATCCGATTTATTTTGCATATCTAAACCAGATATTTGATTACGTCCATCAGTAAATGTAAATCGTAATAGACATGGTCCACGATGATCCGATGAATTGGTTAACATCAAATCTTCTGTTGCTTGTGGTATACTAATATTACGTAATCGAATAAGTTGAACAATTCGACCATTTGCTTCAAGCTATGCAATTATAGAGGTATGAAAAGAGAAAAATCGTTTTTTTTAAAATAAGAGATTAATAAAGCATATCAGTTGTACATGTCACAGATACAAATAGTCTATCAAGGATACAATCAGAAAAAAATATGCATGAATACTGATCTGTGATTTTGGTTCGTTTGAAAGTTATGCTTCCCTATTCTGGTCAGCGTTTTTTAAGCGAATCGATTTTCTACGAGATGTGGTGGGTCGGGAGCCCCCACATATGGGGAGGAAACTGGGAAAACTACTGAAGCCATCATCCAAAAGAAACAAGTGTTAGCTAACAGTTGTCTACGCAAAATACTTCGGATTCGTTGGTCAGACACTCCATGAGCAACAACGTAATGTGGCAGAGAATAAACCAGATTCCAGCACAGGAAGGAATCAGAAATGAGCGCGGGAAGTGGTTCGGGCACACATTGAGGGAATCACTCAATTGCATCACAAGATAAGCGCTCAATTTGGAATCCTCACGGCCGGAGGAAAAGAGAAAGACCAAAGAACACAGTACACCGCGAAATCGGAGACAGACATGAGAAGAATGAATAGTGATTGCACAGAACTGGAAAGGGAAACCCAGGATAGAATGGGTTGGAGAATGCTGGTCGGTAGCCTATGGTCTATTAGACATAACAGGCTAAAATAAGTAAGTAGAGTATTCTACTACCAATCAATGAGTAGTAAATTGATGCTCTGCTTCAATCAATGAGATTTGAGCAACCAGGTTGATAATAAAATGACTAGCTTTCTCATATCTGAAAAGTAATTCAAGCATAAGCGTATTTACACACAAGTCTGTTGAATATAAGTGATAGTTTGTCTTAACCTTCTGTTCAAATCCCATAATGGTAGGAATAGTAGAAGTATTAGCAGTAATGGAGAAGATTAGGGAGCGAATATATGATTCGCGAAGTATAATGCAGTGAGAATAATTTAAAAAGAGAAAGATAGAGATTATGAAGAATTCAGAGGGTTAGAATCAGAGAGAACACAAAGAGTGGATGCACCTGCGCCATTGCGAACGATTCTGAGCCATGTCATTCAAGGTCTCTAACAATTGGTGACTTTCGTCTCGCGGACCCCAACCAGGTAGCCTACATCTACCAACATGACTCAGTCCACTTGACAGTGATTTCATGGATTTCAAAAGATGTTTTGACCTGGCCACTCCTAGCTTTCTTTCAGCCTACTCGTACACCAAAACATAGCCCGTCGAGGCAGTCGGTGGTTAAGCATTCGTAATACAAGTCCTAACCTTCTAAACTGATGAAGATTCACCACTTCATCTATTGACCTGCCAACCTTACCTGACACCCGTTTCCAAATAATAGCATTGCTTACTCAGTTGTACAAGGATATACGAGCAACGCTTCGTAGACAAGAAATCTACGAATGTCCTCTACTCTCATCGGCCATGTTTCGCATCCACATAGTAGGACGAAGCAAACTGCCGCGCAGTACACTCGAGTCCTTTGGTTAGCAAACGAATATCCTGCCTGCGCTACAGGTAACGCAAAATGGCAACAGCCAATCGAGCTTTCTGTATCTGTGCTGAGATTTTGTCAGTCACCTGGCCATTAGCACTGATAAGACTCCCAGATGATTTGCACATAACACAATGCTGAAACATCAATCAAACGATTCAAACAACCAAATACAAATGAATTAAAATAATTACTCTGACAGTTTTTAAAAATATGATATGACTTAATTACAAAATAACAATCTCAGCTTGACTTACATGACTAGCTTTTCTTAAATCTCCTAACCATGGTGAACCATATTCACGAATATCCGACTTGATTGAATTGTAAAAGAGTAAAATTTAAGCGAATCATTCAATGAAAAGAGTGCAAAAAATAACAACAATAAGTAGTATGTATCGGTAAGCATAAAAAAATTAAAAAGAATTTACTTCTTTAACATATAATCTAATCGATAATACGATGATAGCAACACATTTTGTATTGAATAAGATTTTTCACTGGTATGCTCAGTCATTATAATATGAGATTAGGAAAATAGAACTGCATCACTTATCTCCAGTCTTATCAATCATGATGGCTTTGCGTGTGGAGAAATCTTGTTACGGATGCAGAAAGCTCGATTACGTTTTATCGACTTGCATCATTTATGATGAAGGCGAGATATACTTCTGTCAAACAAAGGACGAGTCTACTAAGCAACGATGCGCTCTGTCCTACTATGGGAATGTGAAACATGGCCAATAAGAATAAAAGTGTTATGCTCATCTCTAGGTATGCTTAATCTATTACGAGTTCACCTTAGTCGAATAACGGGAAAAAAACAATGAATCAGCGTCCAGATAGGCTAATGTGATCCCTTGACCACATTGAATCAGTAAGAAGTCTTGATATACTGTAGAAATTGTAGTCGACAAACACCCAGCCAGCACATAATGAATCTAAGCACTCAAATTACGTTTATTTATACTCTATAGAGACGTCCTTGGGACATTCACAAAAATAGCACACTAAAATCACATAGTAACCAATCACAGTCAACGATATTCCTGGTGGGAAAAGTGATCACAAGGTCAACTGATCGGTCCATGAAATAAATCCAAAATAAAGATATCTATCAAGCGAGTTCTGGGGATCTAACATCCCCAACAAAAAGATATTCGTAGGCTATTTGTATTCAATCATAGGTGACTTAGAAACATTGCTCATGTATTCTGAGACCGACAAGTAAGCCGTGTGTCAGTTAGGAATAAAGTTTCAGGTAAAGATGACCAACCACCAATGGATAAAGTAATGAATCTTCATCAGTTTACGTGGTTTGGACATGTGTTACATGCACCCAACTATCGACTACCTCGACGAGCGCCTCTGAGATATAGACTAAAAATTTCATCGAGCTTTTCCATATCGTGATATATATTGGTTCAAACAACAGTTCGTTTGAGTTCTGCTATGCCAGGCAGGTCAACTGGAGAACTGTAAGACTAAAAGTAGCAACTCAAGGTCCGGGGGTGAAGTTGCCCTGTTGATTGTATATGGGTATGACAGTAGTAAGATTTTTCACTCGGACAACCAGCATCCAAAGCAATGTTGCCTTCTTACAAGGAAGAAAAGGGTGAGAAAAGGTCGACCGTAAGAATGTTACACCTGACCTTACCCCATGGACGTCTACCTGCGGAGCTATTACTTTAAAATCTTCTCATAAAAAGGCCATGCGTGACTGGTGTCAAGCAGTTATCCTTTGAGTTCTGCGGTCACGCTCCCAGATCGTTATGACCAATACTAATGCAACTTTCTTCTCAGGTTCCTCAAGAAATGCCCTTCCACGATGTATGTGACTGACCGGTTAATCAGCATCCGTCCTCATATTCGCAACAACACACCAGACCAAACTTGATTGAAATTTTTTTTTAAGTAAGTAAATAAATAAAAATACTTACATTCAACAACAGATTGAACAATTCATTATAAGTTTCATGATCTGTTTTCTTTAGGTATTCTGCAAATGTTTTCTGTGACAAACACCTGTCAGCCAAAAGAATGATAAGAAATAAAATTGCTGTTGGTTCATGATAAGTTGGAAGTGTTTATTTGAACACACTGATACAAGGAGGCACCTAAATATTTAAGGGTCACACAAATTATACTATATACTGTCTGGGTACCGAAACCGAAGGTTTCCCTAAGGAGGTCATTCACTACGCTTTTGACCTACAGATTTAAACCACAAGACAGTGGAACAACGTCGAAGATGCCGTCACATGGTGGACAGTGACTAGCAATAGATTTCTACACCAGGATCATGAAGCTCTTATGCACCATTGACCTGGAATTAGGGTTTTCCCACTCCGTTAGATGGATTCCCCGTACCCACTAACCTGGCTTAAAAACCGTGCAGACATTCGCCTTTCATCCTCTTAACTACTTAAACAGCACCCTGATGACTAGAAAGCAGTGAGATAAGGACTTCCACGGTAGTAGCTATACACGTTTGGTCAGATGTGAGCATTTCACGCGCGACAGAGAGAACTCTTCATATTCTAAGTTGTATCAGAGCACTTAAGTTGTAAAGGTATCGACTGACATCTCCAACCATCGGTTGCCATCAGTATTTAGAACTTAACCAGTAACCTACGAATATCTTCTAATCTCACTGGCCATGTTTCACAGCCATAAAGTAAGACCGAGCAAACTACTGCACAGTACACTCGTCCTTTAGTCAAAAAATGGATATCTCGCCTAAGCCATAGGTGACGCAAGTTGGCAAAAGCCATTCGAGCCTTCTGTATCCGTGCTGAGATTTCGTCAGTCACCAGGCTATCAGCACTGATGAGACTCCCCAGATAAGTGAAGTGGTCAACACGTTCGACTACTTCACTCCCTATCACTAGTTCAGGTACCGATGAAACCCAATCTTGAAGCAACAATTTGCATTTCGACGGGGAAAGCTGTATCCCGAATATGCTTGAATTGTTGCTTAGGGTAGTCAGAAGACTCTGCATTTTTTCAGCGTCTTCAATAAGACAAAGAATGGGTGTATTCGCACCAAAAGTAAATGATTTTAAGCGATTCAATGTAACTAAACATCTGGTTACTATAGTCGCGCCGACCCTAACCAAGTACTCAACATTAACCGACATGGATCAGTGCAGTTTTCAGTGACTCCATGGATTTCTGCTATGTTTTGGTCTGACCGCCTCTAGCTTTCTTCCAAGCTACTCCTACACCACAAAGCATAGCTCGTCGAATCAGTCGATGGTTGAGCATACCTAACCCATGTCCGTCCCAACCATCTCAACTGATAAAGTCTCACTACTTCCCAGCCCCCACACTCCTCATAAAAAATAATAACTACTATTAACAACAAATATAAACAACTTACCAACCAGCATTTGTAAATTCCGTTAAACTACACTAAAAAAAATCAAAATACCGAAAAAATAGTTTTATTTAGTTATTAATACCACCTAGAGTAGTGTTATGTAAAACAGAAAACAGAAACAGAACACCAGTTAACAAATTTATTGTATATATTTCAATCGGAATGATGAACAATTATTTTACTACACATCAACAACTTTTTATAATATACACAAACTAAAACAAACAATGAACAGAAAAATAGATTGAATATTGAATACAAGAAAACATTCAATAATATCAGTGTAGAGACACATTGGATTTCATGTATATATTCTGTATATATTCTCTGTTTATATTACATTAATGTACAGGATAACCCAATGGATCTTGTTCATTATCAATGAAATATTGAATTGATTCTGAGATATGATGAAGAAGATTTTGTAATTGTGGTCCAGAAAATAACTACAAAATAAATTCAATGCAGAAAGAGAGAGTGGAGGAGGAGGAGAGAAAAAGTTATAAAACAATATGAAATGAATTGATTTTTGGCTTTTAACAAAAAAGAAAAAACGATTGATTTGATTGAATCGGTGTTAGGATATTCATCAAGTATCCCAAGAGAAGTATTTTTGTAAGTCTAATTCTATTGGTCAATTCCTAATGGTTAATTCCTATTGGTCGGGCTAACTATCAATGTCGCGTACTTTAATGTTGTTTCCTATTCGACCTAATTGTATAAATACGCATTATCTGTAACGTTTTATGACCCGGACCCAGATCCCTATTCCGGGGATCCTGATTCTTTTCTAGACTCGGATCTCCCTCGTACTTTCTGGATGCTTGTAGAATACATGTTCTACTTCATATCAAGTCTTCTTCTTTTACTCAACGAGGGTTTTGGGACACTCTGATTAGAGTAGGCTGTTGTGTCGCCGGATTTTCTCTCTCGTTCACCGACTAAGGTTAACTTGTCATAGTTCAAGCATATCAGATGACGTGTTTATGTACATGCATAACAATTGGTTCAATGCAAAAAGATGACAAGCAGAAGTATGTCCGCCTTTTTTTATAAAGTTATGAAGAGTGTTGAGTGTGATTGAAATGATGAAGAGCTGGATAGGTGTTTCATCTTAATATAGAACTCCTCAGTGGTAGTTCACATTTACAGCCACAAGAGCTGAAATCCAATCCAATCCACGACCTTCGGTTTCGCATACAAATGCTTGATCTCTAGATTACTGAGTCGAGATCCAGTGGCGTTAATATTCAACTGCAATCAATGTATGATTATTCACATCCTGACTCATTCTTTTCGGCGGATAACTGCCTGACAGTTAACACGTTTGAACTCCATTGGTCATAGATTCTTAATAATGCTCACTAGTGACTAGTTGCGTGAGGGAATTGCCAGAGTTCTAGTGGAAAGCAATGACCAGTGAGGTTCAATGTGCCAGCAGTAAACTTAAATTGTCAGCTAAATTGAGTTGCTTTAGGTTTTTAGGAAAAAAAGTTCTCGTAACGAAGAAATAAATGGTTTGTGACCTCCTTATATAATAATAATGAGGCACTCACACGACACCACAACTACAGTTGCGGTTAAACAATTCGTAATTTCAATTCGATAAAAACATTGAAGAATATCTATTGTCATCATAAGTGGATAACTCTCTTTCTGTTAAGAATTCTTCTAACCAATTAGTACATAACAATATTTGAGTTACACGATTTATGTAAACAATTTCACGTTAGTACTCGCTTCGGAGGTACACATACTAAAATTGGAACGATACGCAGAAGATTAGCATGGCTCCTGTGCAAGAATGGCACACAAAATCGTGAAGCGTTCCACATTAGGTGATAGATCAATAGATGAAGTATTGAAACTTCATCAGTTGAAGTGGATGGGACACGTGTTGCGTATGGCTAACCACCGACTGCATCAGCGAGATATGTTTTGCGGTGTAGGAATAGGTTGGAAGAAAAAATAGGGGCGGCCAGACCAAAACATGGCAGAAATCCATGGAGTCACTGACAAGTGGACTGAGTCATACAGGTAGGTGTAGACTACCTAGTTGCGGCACGTGAGATGATAGTAATCAACGGTTAAATACATAGAATGACATGGCTCAAAATCATTAACTATGGTGCAGATGCATTCATTGTTTGTCTTCTGTCAAACTATTATCTTCTGAATTCCTCATCACCTTTATCTTTATCTTTTTAAGTTTATTTCACTGGATTACACTTCTTCAATAATATAATCGAACCCTAAGTTCTCCGATTACTGCTAATATCAATTATTTCATTACGAAAGTACACCATCTAACTAACCTCTAATTATCAATCAAAAAAATTATTGAACACTGATACAAATTTAATAGTTTGTTCAATAACCAAGTTAGTTATGTAATCATAAATTCAACCAAATGAATCAAAATTAGTCAAACTTTACCTTGTATAAATTAAATTTATTATCTACAATTAAATTTGATAATTCAATACATTTTTGATGTAATCCAGCAGTTTGATATAAACGTACAATAAGAAATACTGTCTCTGTTATACATGTTTCACGTAATACATTCATTTGTAATCGACGTGATTCAACACTTTCACCGAGGCCATCAAATAAATCAGCATCATTTTTATCTGGCATTAATGTTTGTTGATGAGGATGTTTGACAACAACAGCAGTATGTGTTGCTGATTCAATTTCATCTTGTAGTACACTTTCATCATCGGCTTCCGCTCCGTCGTCCAATTCACCACCACCAGTACCGCCACGATTCATATGGTTTGTGTTAGTTGTATCCATTGTCGCTGTAGTTGTTGTTGTCAATGTTGTTGATGGTGTTGTAAGTCGATCATTTGAATCGATTTTCAACTGCTGCTGTTTTGATTGTTCTATATTGACTAACCAACCAGGATAGGGATAAGTTAATAATGCTAAAAGTTTTTCAGCTGCTTTCTAGAATTTATTAATTTTAAAAAATATATACGAAAGAAGAATGTCAATCAACATATTTTTTTAGTCAGAATTTTCAATATCAATGTCAAAACAATTCTATTGTATGGAGAAGTATAATTACTTACTTACTTACTGTTAGGATATTCACCCAATATCCTAAGAGAATTATTGGTCAAATCCTATTGGTCGATTTCTATTGGTCAAAATTATGGTCGTTTTAACTGTCAAAGTAAAATACTTCAATGTTTTTCTCTTATTGGTCATCCGGACTGTCAACGTCATTTCAAATGTTACTTCCGATTGGTCGACTTAACTGTCAATGACAGACTTCGATGTTTGTTTCCTATTCGACCAAAATGTATAAATACGCATTATCTGTAAGGTTTTATGACCACGAACCGGTCCCGGATGCCTAGACCGGGATCCTGTTTCTCTTCTGGATTCGGACCTAGTACTTTATGGATATTTTGTAGAATACAGGTTCTACTTCATATCAGGTTTTCTTATTTTCACTGAATATGGGGATCGGGATAATCGGACTTGAGTAGCATATCGTTGTCACCGGATCCTCGCTCTCGTAATAGTTCAAGTATATCAAGTTGACGTGTTTACGTGCTGGCCTAACACTTACCCACTTACTTACGCCTGTTACTAACTATTCCAAAAGGAGCACGGACCGATGACCGCCATTCTGCAACCTACTCTGTCCTAGGGCTTCTTTTCGGGTCGTTCTTCATTCTTTTTTATGTCGGTCTCCGATTTTTGGGTGTATTGTACGTGTTGCTTAGTTTTCGTGTTTTCTTTTGGCCTTGAGGATCTCAAATGAGGGATTATCTTGTGACGCATTTGTGTCCTTTCCTCGATGCACGTCCTATCCACTTCCAGCGCTCATTTCTGATTTCTTCCTGTGCTGGAATCTGGTTTATTCTCTGGAAAATTAGGTTTTGCTAATGGGGTGTCTGCTAACGGATGAGCAGTATTTTGCGTAGACAACTGTTAATAATCACTTATATCTTTTGGATGATGGCTTCAGTAGTTCTCCCAGTTTCCGCCCC